ATGGTTATTTATTTTAAATTTAAATTTATGTCAAAGGAAGAATTTATAAAAATTTGATATAATTGAAATAATCTATAAGTACAACCTGTTAAAATGAATGATAATTTTAATTTAATAGTATCACCTAGTTAAATGGTAGGATTTTATCCAAAAATAATTGAGAAATCTGAATTACAGAGAGGTTATGTTCCTAATTTTAAAAGAGTTTCAGATTCAAAGAAAGCTTCACATAAATCTGTAACTCCTTAATCTAAATAAATGATAGATCCTCCAAAATCAATATTAAATCCAGTAAATTCTTCATTTAATCCAAAATATGGTACTCCTAATGAACAATCAGTACAATAAACGGATCCAATACTAAATCTACTGATTCCTTTCTAATCACATTTACATTCACCATTTATAGGCCCTACCCTATTACCAAAACAAGATAAACATCCAATATTTACAAATACTATTGAGTATTAATTTATACTTTTAGAATAAATAAGATTCAATTAAAAGATATTTGTTTTTTCTTCTTAGCTATCAAAAAAATTTCTTTAATTGATAATATGTAAAATAATTATTCTAAATCTAGAAAAGTATGGAATTTTTTTATAATTTAATTTTAAGTACAATATTCTTTATTTAAAAATGTAATAAATTAGAACTAGATAATCTTAATTTAAATATTGTATATTCATATTATAATTGAAGATAGTCAATTATTTTAATACTTTAAAAAGATAAAGTTAATTTTATTTCAATATAAGTTATAAATTACCAAAATAAAGAAACTTGGACAATTTAAATGATTATTAGATCAATTACTTTGAATTAATTGAAGGTTTTATATATTTAATAAAAATAAATAACAGTAGTTTATTATTGATTAGTTAAAATTTATAAGTATATTATTGAATATTCATATTTTAATCCCATTCATCTATTCATTTTGATTTATATTTTCTTTCCTACTAACATTTGCTATTATTATTAAATCCTTCTTCTGTTTATAAATCATTAATAATTCCTTATTCTGATATTATAAGATTAGGCAATAAAATGTTATCTTTGATATTTTTGGTTACTTTCAAGTTTCTTATTAACCTACAGTAGTATTAGGCATGATATTTTTGTTTTATCTTCATTTTATTCAAAAACTTCCTCTTAAGGACTTTTATTAATTACATTTCATTTTATTTGTTAATATATACAATGATTTAATAAACTAATTCAAATTATCTCTTTTTTCATAATCTAAATATCCTTCGTTATCTAAGTTTACATGAAATTAACTTCGTCCATCCTTTTCTTTATTCAATATCCTAATTGTGTATTAATATATTCATTCAATTATTTTCAAAAGCCTTTACTTCATTAAAACATCCTAAATTAACAATTCTTCATTGTTTATTCGCATTAAAATTGTATTCATATAGTATATGTTAGAGATATTTAATAATTAATTTATTCATTCGGTCTCTTTCAAAATAATAATGTTTAATTAAATTCTTTTCTTTACTATTTTTTCAATATAATTATTAATAAAATCATATAATTAACATTCTATCTATTGATAATGCTCTAAAGGTTCTTAATAATATAATTTCTATGCAATATCAATTATTACATTTAATTTATTTTCTCTCAAATATTCATATGCTTTTAATACTATTACATATCGAAATACTTTACCACACAAAATTGAATCCACCTCAAATTTATTATAAATGTTTAACAATAAATCTAAAGGAAGTTCATTTAAGAATTATTAAAGTATCTTTATTTATATAAATTTAATAATCCTATTATTTTGTTATAATACCATTTTTAATTAGAACTCTGATTATAAAAAACATTTATATATTGAATCTTCTAAATTCTTTTAAATAAGGAAATATATATATTAAAATGAAATTTCATCCCTTTAAAACATGTTTTCTAAAATTTTATTAGTATTTGATCTTTCAATTCCATTAATGCACTATTTTAATCAAATAATAAAAACTAATATATTTTCGTTTAAATAAAAAAAAATGTATTATTTTAAGTTTCAAAATAAAGAATTAATAAGTATGCATCATCTTAAGGTCTCAAAGAACCTTTAATATATATCAATAAACAATTTTCATTTATATAATGAGTTTAGAATGAAATTAGAAATTTTAATGATATTTACAAAATCCTAACTGAAAGCCCACACAATTCTTATAAAAAATAAAAATTGATATGATTATTATAAAATAGGGGATATAAGAAAACATCAAATCAGAAACAAATCTATAAATATAATGAGATTTGCCATAATTTAATTCAAAATAGTCTATATGTCAATTCTATTGATTAATAACATAGAAAACAATAAATACTATAAACTATAAATAGAAAACTATAAAGAATGATTAATCTTAATGGATGATGCTTTATATTTATTATATGTCTAATTTGGAAGACTTATTATGAAAGACTAATTTTATAAAATGTGAGAAATTCTGAAAATTGACCATAATAAAGGTAAGAGAAATAAAAGTCATACTTTTTTATTAAATAGATCAATATCTACATTAGATATTGAAATTTGACTGACTATTTTATATATCTCAAACTTGTACTTAATTGTTTGTGTAATTATTATTTGTCCTAAATTTGATCTCTAATTTAAATACTTTCCTTATCATATATTACTTTTAGTTTTATTGTTAATGATAGCTTAAAAGTAATGACAATAATCCTATTATATTAAAATATCTTTAGTAATCTATAATCTCTACATTTAATGAAAGAAAATGTTTTTATTTCTTATTAAGTCAAAAAATACATGAATTTTTTTTCAAAAGAATGCTAGGTTAACATTTTTTATTTGCATTTCATCTTAAAGTTATTATGTAAACATCTTTTAATGCCTTACATAATAATTTAAATCACAAATCCCTATACATTTAATGAATACAATTATCAAAATAAGAATTTCTTAAAATATTCTCAAATATACTTCGTATCAAGTACTATATAAGGGCTCAATTAAAGATCAGATATTTTGAATTAAAAATTTATATATTAGAGAAATGAAAGACAATAATTCGCAATCAACTCTAACTGAATAATCAAATGACCTTTTATCAGAACAATAAATGCTGGAACCATCTATGCTTAGCAAATACAATAATAATATACCATTTGATCTTGAAGATTAAAGATCAGTGTCGAGAAAAATGAGCATAAAGAATAAAAAAAAAAAACGATAAGGAAGAAAGTCAAGAGACTTCACAATCTAAGAGGATTAAAAGCTTTTAGGTTTTGTTTTAATGTTTGGACCAAAGTTTAAAACAATTTAACGAAAGATGTCTGGAAGGCCATTAAATATTCTAAAGAATAGATACTATAGAGATTTAAGATATAGATGGGATGAGATTTTAGGAGAGTAATAAATATTGAATTATATTTTCTAGGGAATATGCCTATTTGAATGAAAAAAAGGTAGATCTAACTATGGATGAAATTTGGAAGACTTCTCCACTTGATCCAGATTTATCTAAAATTATGATGAATATGATAACACAATTTTAGAATGTAATAACTAAATGTTTGATTTGAGAGAGTCTCTTGACTCAATGATTAAATTTTTATTCATATATATAGAGTTAATTATCTATTTTTGCGTTTTATCAGTTTTTTCACGAATAAAAAATACATAATTATTAAATACTTCTTTTCTTATCTAAAATTTATTACTAAAATTAGAGTTAGAATTTCATAAGACAAAATCCCCACTTCACTTTAAATAATAGATAACAATAAATATTTTATAATTTCAAAATTTACTTGATTGAAATTAATAATGCTTATGACATAAACTGGTATAAAAAAAGGTCTTGATATTTAGATGAGTTAATTTCATAGATTATCAATTTAATGATGAATAAAATTTATTCAAAACAATATAAGGATTCAAATCTATAAAAAAAATAATCAATTTTAAAGCAATTTATTAAAAATTCAAATTTTTAATAAAATTAGAACTAAGTCATATTAAGAAATTAAAGTGGTGCTTCTATTTATCAATATGAAATTTCATAAATTTTATATTATTTAGAAATAGTGATTCTATAAGCCAATCTAATATATTTAATTAAAAATACAAAAATTATTAATTTTTATTCAACATTAGAAATTAATATATTTAATCCGTTTTTAGTTTAATAATCCTACTTCTTTCCAAGGAAATAAAATATTATAAATATTATAAATATTTAATATAAACTTTTTTCATTGAAAAAGATTAATGTGATTATAAACCTCTAAGTTTTATATTTTATTTATGATTAAAAGGGCTATTTCAAAAATGTTTATGAAATTTATATAACTTCTTGAATTTTAAATTATGTTGTCTTAAAAAGAGGTTAAACCTTTATATTTTTAGAAAAACTAATACAATTATAATTATATATATATAATTCAAAAAAACAATTATAGAATTTATAAAAATGGAGAAAAAAGTGTAAGCAATAATAAAATATTGATAAAAAAATCATATTTTAATGATAGTATCTAAAAAAAATCTGTTATCTCTAAAAATTGAATTATTCTAAATTATAAAGGAATAATTACTTATTCATTGATTTTTTATAATTCTAACTTAGGGACTCTAAATTAAATAATTTCATTATTATGATTATAAGAATTATATATCATCGTTTATTTCTTTTAACTATTAAATAATTGAAAATAAAATTTTAATCTTTCTACTTTGAAAACTTAATTTAATATTCTTGTTCTAAGGTTTTTATAATAAAAGCCCACATATTAGATCATAACTCTTAGTAATACACAATACAAATTAAATAACAAAATCTGGCTAGAAATTATACTTATTTTAAAAATTAACTTCTATATCAAAATGAGTTAATTATTTTTGGTGGCATTTCATTAAAAAAAATAAGATTATATGTTGAAAAATCAAGAGATTTATTTATAATTAGAAATTCATTAATTTATTTTCGTTTTAATAATAGATGATTAAGATGATAATTTTTATCGTTCTTTTTTATGAGCAGGTTCTTCTGCCTTGTAGTAAGATAAATTATAAATTTAGAATGCAAATATTTAGTTTTAACAGATCTAACAGATTAAAGCACTGTAAGTTTATGGTCGGATGAAACCTTAAGTCTCCCTTTATCCTTTTGTACAAATGAATTAGTTGAAAACTACATAGGCTTAGATAACAATTTAAATCCTATTTATTGGAAGAGAATATTTTCTCTACCTAAAACTAGCAGAGTTTATGTTTATTTTGAGATTTCCTTATCTGGAAATTGGAATAATGATGAACTGTAGATATTTGCTAACGATTTAAAGGTCTACTCTTAAAAATTCACTCTCACAGATTCCAATAGGGATTGTAATCAAAGGTATTTTGTTCGATAATAATTAGATTTCTTTATGAATCCTAAGGATACTTTATAATCAATATGAGATTAGATTCTTTAAAGTTTGAAATAAAAGTCAGTAACACTAACCTTGGTATTTACATAAAAAATCTGGTTTTGCTTTAATAATAATAAAGAGGTAGAAATGAGATTCTTCAATTTATTGATTACATTCCTACATGTAGTCCAAATTTTTATTTTTAACAATATTATTGCAAATGCTCAAATAATTTAGTCTACTAATCCAATTAGTGTATAGCATCCTGTAGTTAAAATTATTTGTATGACTCAACTGAAAAAATGTGTTTTGCAAAAGATTATTGCTCATCTTGCATTGGAACTCAAACATCATTATCATGTGATACAGGGTATTATAAATATTCAGAATCTGATATTTCTGAATCTAATTGTGTTAAGAGATGCCCAAATGGCTATTATCAAGATGAGACTGCTAAAACTTGCACTGACATGAAATCTTATCTTTAGACTAATCAAAATGGAGGAGGTAAATTATAAAATTTAAGATTTAGAATAAATGGGCCATTATTACTTTTTTACTAGCATCTCAGAATTTATTCATTTTTATTCCTATAATCATTTAATGGCAACTATTGTGTCAGTTCCTGAAAAAATTAAAGAAAGAGGCTTTTTCTTTTATAATAATAAATTTTATATTGGTTCATTTGATACATTTTAATCCCAAAAGGTCTTGATCACATAAAATATACAGAATTCTTAACATAAAATAAGGTTTAGAGCAATAGCCCATTTTATTGATTTTAATCCTACTAAATTTGATATAACAATAAATGGTGTTAAATAAACAGCTGCTACATTACAAATTAACACTATCAATATATTATAATCATCAAAATCAGATTATATAGCATACTTAGATTATACATGGGTGAGAACAGAATAATACCCTATATCTTAAAATAATATTCTTTTTGAAATCGAATAACCATCTTAAGGAGGAAAATATATTGGAGTTTTCTATTTAGATGATATTCATCTTTTTCAATTTCAATGTTAAACAGGATGTAATACTTGCTTTACTTATGCTTTTTGCACTCCTTGTCTTTATCCAGCTAATAAAGATCCTGCAGACTGTTCATGTCTAACAGGATATGTCATGTAGAATAATTAATGCATAGGTACTACAGAATTTTAAGTTAGTTTGCCCTACTTATTGTACTACTTGTGTTACTGCTGCAGTTTGTGTAGATTGTTTGGCATCAACAAAAAGAATTAATTCTCCTAATTGTGATTAATGTCCTATTAATTATTATGTCGATTCAGGACTTGCAGATTGTTAACCATGTTAAACAGGATGTCATTCATGTACAGTTGGAACTGCATGTGTTTACTGCGCTAATGGATACTTTAGAAATCAATTAAATTAATGTATAACTTAATGTCCAGATGGATAATTTAATGATTCTAGTAATGTAAATGATCCAAAATGTAGTATTTGTGATAATAATTGTTTGAAATGTTAAACATTAGCTACAACTTGTACTGCATGTAAAGGATTGGCTATTCTTGTTTCTGGTTAATGTTATTTATGTTCTGAAGGTTAATATTTATAAGGAACTACTTGTGTCAATTGTATTAATGGATGTTAAATTTGTTCTTCTGTCACATGCACAACATGTTAAGATTCTTATTATTACAAATCATCAACTAATGAATGTATTTCTGTTTGTGATCCAGGATTTTTTGGAAATACAACCACTAAAACATGCGACGTATGCAATTCCAATTGTTAAACATGTTTAGCAGGTACAGATAAAGACTGTTTAAGTTGTTCACCAGGTAAAGTACTTAATATCTACAATGTAATAAGTGGAGAGTGCAACATAAACTGTTTGCTAGGATTCTACAAAGTAAATGATTAATGTTTGAAATGTTGGAAGGGTTGTTCTGCATGTATGGACTAAACTCAAGCCTGCTTAACATGTGCGAGCAAATTTTATAGATTAAAAACCACCGGTTGGTGTTATGAAACATGTCCTGATGGATATTATAATAATAAAATAGGTTATTTATGTTCTCCTTGTAACACTTAATGTAAGACCTGCTATGGTTTTTCAGAATTAACTTGTTTATCATGCAATGCTCCTTTAGCCTACTTTTAAAACTAATGTTTAGTTGAATGTTATGATGGTTATGGGAGCATAAATAATATTTGTGAACCATGTGCAGCTAATTGTAAGAAATGCTTTGGTACATAACCTAATGAATGTCTTTAGTGTAAAAATGGGTTTTACACTCTAAATAATCAATGCTATATTAAATGTCCAAGATCATTTTTTGGTATCAGACCTTAGTATGTTTGTAAATGTATATATGACAATTGTATAACTTGTACAGCAACTTAATATTTCTTGGATAATTAATGCTATACTAATTGTCCAACTGGTTATTTTGGATATAATGGTTTATGTATTAAATGTGATTTGACTTGCGGAACTTGCTTTGGAGAAGGAATAGATGAATGTTCTTCTTGTAAATCTGGTTTAATCTTATATTAAAATACTTGTATAGCAAACTGTTTAGGAAACCTGTATCATGATGTTGTAGCTAATGAGTGTAAACTATGCAATATAGAGTGTGCTGCTTGTACAGGGCCTAATAATAATTAATGCACTGCTTGTCCAAATGAAAAATTATTAACAATTGAAAATAGTTGTAAAGATATATGTACTGATGGTTCATTTTTGATATAAAGTGAATAAAGATGTTATCAATGTCATGCAACTTGTAAAACTTGTTTTGGATCTTCTGATGAAAATTGTTTAACATGCACAAATTTATTTTAAGCAAATTAATGTGTAAGTACATGTTCTCCTGGTTTCACAATTAATGCTACTGGAACAGCATGTGATTCTGATTTTACTCAAGTAGTAGGAGCTTGTTCATATTAGTGTAAGACTTGTGAATTAGCTGCAAGGTATTGTAAATCTTGTNAATAAAGATTGTGTCACATGTCCAGCAGGTAAAGTGCTCAATATCCAAAATGTAATTAGTGGGGAATGTTAAACAAACTGTTTGTTAGGATTCTACAAATTAAATGATGGATGTTCAAAATGTTGGAAAGGTTGTGCTGCATGTATGGACTCAACTCAAGCCTGTTTAACATGTGCAAGCAAATTTTATAGATTAAAAACCACAGGTTGGTGCTATGAAACATGCCCTGATGGATATTATAATAATTAAGTAGGTTATTTGTGTTCTCCTTGTAACACTTAATGTAAGACCTGCTATGGTTTTTCAGAATTAACTTGTTTATCATGCAATGCTCCTTTAGCTTACTTTTAAAACTAATGTTTAGTTGAATGTTATGATGGTTATGGGAGCATAAATAATATTTGTGAACCATGTGCAGCTAATTGTAAGAAATGTTTTGGTACATAACCTAATGAATGTCTTGAATGCATGGTTGGATTTTATACACTAAATAATCAATGCTATGTAAAATGTCCAAAATCATTTGTTGGTATTAGACCTTAGTATGTTTGTAAATGTATATATGACAATTGTATAACTTGTACAGCAACTTAATATTTCTTGGATAATTAATGCTATACTAATTGTCCAACTGGTTATTTTGGATATAATGGTTTATGTATTAAATGTGATGTCACTTGTGGAACTTGCTTTGGAGAAGGAATAGATGAATGTTCTTCTTGTAATACTGGATTAATCTTATATTAAAATACTTGTATAACAGATTGCTTAGGAAATCTCTATCATGATGTTTTAGCCAATGAGTGTAAATTGTGCAATATAGAGTGTGCTGCATGTACAGGGCCTAATAATAATTAATGTACTGCTTGTCCAAATGAAAAATTATTGACAATTGAAGATAGTTGTAAAGATATATGTACTGATGGTTCATATTCTGTATTAAGTGAAAAAAGATGTTATCAATGCCATGCAACTTGTAAAACTTGTTTTGGACCTTCTGATGAAAATTGTTTATCATGCACAAATTTATTTTAAGCAAATTAATGTGTAAGTACATGTTCTCCTGGTTTCACAATTAATGCTACTGGAACAGCATGTGATTCTGACTTTCCTCTTGTTATAGGAACCTGTTCATATTAGTGTAAGACTTGTGAATTAGCTCCAAGATTTTGTAAATAATGTTCAGGAAATCGTAGTCCTAATCCACCTAATTGTGATTGTGAAGCTGGTTATTTTGATGATGGAAGTAACTCTAATTGTCCGAAGTGTGATAATAAATGTTTGACTTGTAAAGGATTAGCAAATCTTTGTCTTAAATGTAAAGGGGATAGATTATTACCAACATGTGCTTGTCCAGAATTTTATTATGATGATGGAGAATCAGTTAATTGTGTTAAGTGTTAAGATAATTGTAAAACCTGTGATGTTAATGGATGTACATCTTGTCTGGGAGATAGAATTAATAATCCTGATTGTGTATGTCCTGATGGTTATTTTGATACATATCAAACTTATTGTTCATAATGCGCAAAAAAATGTGTAACTTGTAGTGGATCAGCAGAAATATGTGATGTTTGCTCAGGAATTAGAGTTGGAAAGCCTATATGTGGATGTCCAGATGGCTTTTTTGAAAATTCTGATTAAGAATGTTAACAATGTGATTCAACATGTAAGGATTGTAATTAATATGGATGTTTATCTTGTTTTGGTAATAGGGTAGGGCCTATAAATGGTGAATGTAAATGTGATTAGAAAGGAATCAGTAGATTTAGTATTGGATCCGTTTATTGTACTGATTGTTCATTAGGAGTACCATATTTTGGATTAAATGAAGAATTTACTGGATTTAATATTGATTTTGGAGGATCTATCATTTATTTAGATTAAGGAGTTACAGATTTATGTGAAGCTTTCTTTGAATCTGAAACTCTTTTAAAATTAGGAACATAACCTCTCTGTAATTCAGATTTCTCAATTATTTTTGGATAAAATCCTACCATTTAACTAGGTGATACTATTAAATTAAAATTATCATTCATTTTAACAGGTTGTACTTATCAATTTTTATAAATCCTTCCTATGCCTCTCTCTATTCCATCTACAATAGATTTAGATACTCATAAGCCAAGTGTCAAATTCAATGATTTAAGTACCTCAAATATTTGTTCTGATTTAATTATTAGATTTGAAGAATTATTCTATAATGGAAAGTAAAATTTGAAAGTTATTTCATGGAATCAATATATTCCTTCATTAATAGACCCTTAAATTTAATCTATATTAAATGCTAATACTTTAAATCATAGTGATACTATTACTTTTCCACCAAAAATCTTCTAATCGAATATTAGATATAAATTCGGTGTTACTATTGAAAGTTTTGCTAAATTATAGAACATAAATTATTTTTAATTTGAAGCTTCTCAATAATCCAAAATTAATTTTTATCCAGTTTCAACTAATAATTAATTTCATAGATATGATCAAATCTCAATCTAATGTTAAATATCTTATTCAAATTGTATAGAAAAAGTATATCCAGAGTAAACTTTAGTTTATGAAATTAAATTGAAAAATAATAAAAATTAATTATTAAATGGAACTTTGACAGAAAATTTAGAAGATGGATTTATTTTCGATTTTCCTCTTAATTTCAAATAATATTATTTTAATTTTTCTAATCCATATATTTTAATTTTTAATACAAAATTAATAAGACCTGATTATACTGTTAGTACATCATAAAACTTTGAAATTTATATAGTTCCATCTAGCCCAATACTTACAATTGCAGGTGGAAATAGAATGATTGGGTATACTGATAAACTATTTTTAAATACTACAATTACAGATAAAGATTTAACAGAAACTGAGGCTTCTAAAATCATTTATGAATGTAATTGGAGTTGTTAAGATATTGTAAATGGTTCTGCTTGTATTAATTAAGAAAATTAAACAATTTTATTTGATAAGAGTTGTAATTAATATTTACCACCACGTACATTTGCTCCATATTAAGTATTTAATTTTGAAGTTAGCATTATAAAAGAAGAAATAGTTTATTCTACAAAAATATCAATTTAATTAATTGAAATAGATTTACCAGCTTTAACTGTATAAGGAGTCAATGCATTAGAGACTCATAATTATTATGATGAATTTATCTATTAATTAATATATCCTGGAATAAATCCTGATGTTTTAATGTATGCTGGTGCAGTAATCTATGATTAAGTTGTTTAAGCAACTTTCCAATTTTATTATTTAGAGTTTAAATTTAAAGTCTAAGACTATTTTACTAATTTCTAAGATTCTTTAGGTAATGGTCTAAAATTAAGACTATCAGTTTATGATCCTCGTTTCATAATGCCTTCTTTAAATACTTAAATGTTAACTATGAATATTCCACCTTAAAATTGTGAATTGGAAATGAAATACAATCAAGGATTTGTTGAATTTATTGAAGCACTTGATGTTTCAGTTATTAATTGTATTGATACTGATGTACCTTTATAATACAGTGTTTGGGTATTTCCAAATGAATCAATTTATGAATCTGATCTAATTCAATCTAAGTTTTACAATTATATATTACTTGAACCTTATTAGAAAACCAATACATTTAAGTTATTTTTACCATATTATAATGATAAGTAGTAGGTTCTAGTATTTCATATATAAGATTCATATGGAGGTGTAATTAATATAACTTAGACTTTTGATGTAAAATAATATTTATAAATTGATGAAACTACTTTTTTTAATTATGAAAAGTAAATTGTAAGTTTAGATTAATAATTAATTGGATATAATTTAATTACTGAAAGATTAAGATTAATAAATGGATCACANAAATATTTGTTCTGATTTAATTATTAGATTTGAAGAATTATTCTATAATGGAAAGTAAAATTTGAAAGTTATTTCATGGAATCAATATATTCCTTCATTAATAGACCCTTAAATTTAATCTATATTAAATGCTAATACTTTAAATCATAGTGATACTATTACTTTTCCACCAAAAATCTTCTAATCGAATATTAGATATAAATTCGGTGTTACTATTGAAAGTTTTGCTAAATTATAGAACATAAATTATTTTTAATTTGAAGCTTCTCAATAATCCAAAATTAATTTTTATCCAGTTTCAACTAATAATTAATTTCATAGATATGATCAAATCTCAATCTAATGTTAAATATCTTATTCAAATTGTATAGAAAAAGTATATCCAGAGTAAACTTTAGTTTATGAAATTAAATTGAAAAATAATAAAAATTAATTATTAAATGGAACTTTGACAGAAAATTTAGAAGATGGATTTATTTTCGATTTTCCTCTTAATTTCAAATAATATTATTTTAATTTTTCTAATCCATATATTTTAATTTTTAATACAAAATTAATAAGACCTGATTATACTGTTAGTACATCATAAAACTTTGAAATTTATATAGTTCCATCTAGCCCAATACTTACAATTGCAGGTGGAAATAGAATGATTGGGTATACTGATAAACTATTTTTAAATACTACAATTACAGATAAAGATTTAACAGAAACTGAGGCTTCTAAAATCATTTATGAATGTAATTGGAGTTGTTAAGATATTGTAAATGGTTCTGCTTGTATTAATTAAGAAAATTAAACAATTTTATTTGATAAGAGTTGTAATTAATATTTACCACCACGTACATTTGCTCCATATTAAGTATTTAATTTTGAAGTTAGCATTATAAAAGAAGAAATAGTTTATTCTACAAAAATATCAATTTAATTAATTGAAATAGATTTACCAGCTTTAACTGTATAAGGAGTCAATGCATTAGAGACTCATAATTATTATGATGAATTTATCTATTAATTAATATATCCTGGAATAAATCCTGATGTTTTAATGTATGCTGGTGCAGTAATCTATGATTAAGTTGTTTAAGCAACTTTCCAATTTTATTATTTAGAGTTTAAATTTAAAGTCTAAGACTATTTTACTAATTTCTAAGATTCTTTAGGTAATGGTCTAAAATTAAGACTATCAGTTTATGATCCTCGTTTCATAATGCCTTCTTTAAATACTTAAATGTTAACTATGAATATTCCACCTTAAAATTGTGAATTGGAAATGAAATACAATCAAGGATTTGTTGAATTTATTGAAGCACTTGATGTTTCAGTTATTAATTGTATTGATACTGATGTACCTTTATAATACAGTGTTTGGGTATTTCCAAATGAATCAATTTATGAATCTGATCTAATTCAATCTAAGTTTTACAATTATATATTACTTGAACCTTATTAGAAAACCAATACATTTAAGTTATTTTTACCATATTATAATGATAAGTAGTAGGTTCTAGTATTTCATATATAAGATTCATATGGAGGTGTAATTAATATAACTTAGACTTTTGATGTAAAATAATATTTATAAATTGATGAAACTACTTTTTTTAATTATGAAAAGTAAATTGTAAGTTTAGATTAATAATTAATTGGATATAATTTAATTACTGAAAGATTAAGATTAATAAATGGATCACAATAATATAAATAACAATTATTCTAGAAATTGATTGCTATTGATTAAAATTAAACATTCTTAAGTAATTAAACAGAAAGTTTATATAGATCTATTTCTAAATTATTAAGTTAAAATGTAACGCTATTAAATTAAAATGAATCAATGTTACTTAATTAATTGAATTATAGAATTAATTTAGCATATATTTAATTGACAACATTTTATAATTTATAAAGATAAAATAAATTGACATCAATATAAAACATTGAAAAAACTACATATACTTAACAATACTATACATTCTCAGATATTTTATCTTCTTGTCTCAATTATAGAGTTCAATAGAACTTAACATCAACAGATATCTAAAAATAACTATAAGAAATGCAATCATAATTATAAGGTATTAGTGTACCTAATGAACCTCTATATAAAGTTTAATCAAATTCAGTAAATTTAAATTTTGGATTTCTTACAACCAAAATGGCAGGAGAAGTTACAGGATCAAAAACAATTACTAAAAGTAGATTATTGGAGGAAGAAGCTGAAAAATCAGATACTGATTATAATACTTCAACTAATTTCTATAAATTTTCAATGACCAGATTTATTGATAATCCATTTTATGCAGACCAAAACTTTCCCAAAAACAGCAGTGGATATTAAGCTGTAGATCCAAAATTAATCGCAGAAACTTAATCTAATATCAGTAAAGCAAATTCTTAAATGAAATTCAAGTTTCCAACTACAAAAAAATTAGAAAATAATACATCAATAAAATGTATAACAGAAGTTAAAAGTGGAGAATGGGATGCTGATGTTTGTAGTACAGTTGAAAATAATGGAGAGACGACATGTTAATGTGATTCTTTAAATCCAACTTCTGTGATGGAATCCTTGAATCTTATTGCTGATAAAGCTGCTTAAGTATTTTCCTTGGATACCCTATTGGCATTTGGATCATTTCCATTTTATAAGACCATAGTTTTTTATTTCTATTTGGGAATCACGGGTATCTATTTATGGGTTGTCTATTGGGGAGTTAAAGTTGATAATGAAATGTTTGCAAAAATTCATGCTGCATAAGAATTAGCAGAATAAAAATTAAAAGAAGAAAAACTTAAATTAGAGAATATTGAAAATGACCCAGAAAATAAAGAACAGAATAAAGAAATTACAGAAAATAAATAGGAGTCTCATTCTTTCAGACAGCTTGAAGAAATAAAAGATAATGATACCCCTCAGATTGAAGCCTTACCAAATTTAGAAAAAAATATCTTTAGAAATCCTAAATCGTTTGATAGAGTTATACTTGAGAACAAACTCTCGATGATTAATTCTCCTTAAGAATTCCTAATTAATCAAACTCCTGATTCTAAACTTGATATCAACATTGTCATAAACCCTGATATACCTAAAGGATAAGGATCTGACCTCCTATTGCAAAGACAATGTTCTATAAAAAATGATAATAGAGTTCAATCAATGGAAAATCTTAAAAATGTTGAAGATTCAGAAAAGTAGGAGAATGATAAAAGGAAGGAAACAGAAGGGAATTAAAATGATAAGGAGAAACCAAAAGGATTAAAGGATTTGACGATAAAGAATTCTATCTCTAGAATTAAAGCCTACATTGAATACCTTAAGTTTTTCCATCAACTATTATAGATAATATATAAATCAGATCAAAAGAAACCTAGAGGTTTGAGAGCTTCAATTGTTTACACAAGTATTTTGGGTAGNAATTTCTATAAATTTTCAATGACCAGATTTATTGATAATCCATTTTATGCAGACCAAAACTTTCCCAAAAACAGCAGTGGATATTAAGCTGTAGATCCAAAATTAATCGCAGAAACTTAATCTAATATCAGTAAAGCAAATTCTTAAATGAAATTCAAGTTTCCAACTACAAAAAAATTAGAAAATAATACATCAATAAAATGTATAACAGAAGTTAAAAGTGGAGAATGGGATGCTGATGTTTGTAGTACAGTTGAAAATAATGGAGAGACGACATGTTAATGTGATTCTTTAAATCCAACTTCTGTGATGGAATCCTTGAATCTTATTGCTGATAAAGCTGCTTAAGTATTTTCCTTGGATACCCTATTGGCATTTGGATCATTTCCATTTTATAAGACCATAGTTTTTTATTTCTATTTGGGAATCACGGGTATCTATTTATGGGTTGTCTATTGGGGAGTTAAAGTTGATAATGAAATGTTTGCAAAAATTCATGCTGCATAAGAATTAGCAGAATAAAAATTAAAAGAAGAAAAACTTAAATTAGAGAATATTGAAAATGACCCAGAAAATAAAGAACAGAATAAAGAAATTACAGAAAATAAATAGGAGTCTCATTCTTTCAGACAGCTTGAAGAAATAAAAGATAATGATACCCCTCAGATTGAAGCCTTACCAAATTTAGAAAAAAATATCTTTAGAAATCCTAAATCGTTTGATAGAGTTATACTTGAGAACAAACTCTCGATGATTAATTCTCCTTAAGAATTCCTAATTAATCAAACTCCTGATTCTAAACTTGATATCAACATTGTCATAAACCCTGATATACCTAAAGGATAAGGATCTGACCTCCTATTGCAAAGACAATGTTCTATAAAAAATGATAATAGAGTTCAATCAATGGAAAATCTTAAAAATGTTGAAGATTCAGAAAAGTAGGAGAATGATAAAAGGAAGGAAACAGAAGGGAATTAAAATGATAAGGAGAAACCAAAAGGATTAAAGGATTTGACGATAAAGAATTCTATCTCTAGAATTAAAGCCTACATTGAATACCTTAAGTTTTTCCATCAACTATTATAGATAATATATAAATCAGATCAAAAGAAACCTAGAGGTTTGAGAGCTTCAATTGTTTACACAAGTATTTTGGGTAGTTTGGCTGTGCTATTTGTATTTAATTAGCCAAATAATCTTAGCTTTACAGTTGCTTTAGCTTTATTAACTGCTCCAATTAATAAAATTTATTAGATTATCCTAGAAAAAACATTATCACATAAAAAGAAGATAGTTAGATCAATTGGAGCTGTTTTTATGATAATAAGTGCTGGTCTCATTTCTTATGTTATGTTGGCAGGTTTGGTAATGATGGATTCAGTGGAAACTGCTAATTAATGGAGCTATATCTTTTTAGGAACCTTTACAATGGATAATTTATTTTATTGTCCAATTTCTTTAATTTTCTAATATGTAGTTCATATGGAATTCATTAAGCTGCCTATTTTCTAAAAGTTGCTCGATAAGATACTTGACGAAAAGGCTAAGGAATTTTTGTATGGTTTAATTGATAATTTAGGAGGAGAGGAATGATTAATATTTATTATCATTTTAAAAAGTTAATCCTTTAATTAAATTTTAATAAAAAAAAATTCATTCTGAACATTAATAAAAGATCCTTATATTAATTTCCAAAAGTTTGCAATTGCTTTTGGAGGAGCACCTTCATGTGTTAAATATCTTCTTTCATCAACAAAATCATATATTAAATTAAGTGCTTGTTCTTTCTCATCCATTTAATTTAGTGAATATCTAATTAATCCTAGAATGACCTATTAAACTTCATAATCATAATATATTTTGCTATAACTATCATTTTCTTAACAATAGATACCAGTCTTTTTAAATTCCTCATTTTTGCCTTAATAATTTATTGAAATATTTACATAGTTCTAACATTCTCCAATGATTTCAATCTGTTTATAAAATCTTACTCTATAAAGCTTTTAGACTTAAGAATTATTTATTATTTCAGAAAGTGAATTAGAAGGACTTATTTTCTTAGACCATCAAATCGAATTTATTAAATCATATTCAATTATATTCTTCAAATTAAATTAGGCTTTTTGAGTTGAATTATTTACTTATTGTTTATTATTTTTATTTAATTCAGAAAATTATAATAAAATCTAAGAGTAATGAGAATTCGAAGATAAAAGGAATTAATTTAAATAATTTTAATAATTTAGGACTTTGATCGTTAGAAAAATCAAATTTTCATTTGAGAAAATAGTCAAATAAATGTATAAATATTATTCATTGATATTTTCCAAAATAAACTGTTAAATATAATAAAACAAAAATAATACAGAGCACAAACAAAGTGTTAATCTAATAGTAAAATAGTGTATTTAAGCATTTGATCATTCTAAAACAATACTTATAATTAAATAATATGGTATAAAATGTTCCTCAAAATTTATCGATAAAGGATATTTCACTTTTTTATATTATTTACATATCATAAATTATATTTAAAGGGGTTTCATTATTACAAAATTGTCATTACAATTATAAAATCTTCATTAAAAAATAGTTTTTTTGACCTCAGGTAGTTTTTTTTAGAATGGAGCACCTTAAAAAACAAGTATAACTCCATATTTATTTGCAATTTATTTAGAGTTATTCACTGAGGAGTATGCAGAAGTTGGAATGCTTAATTATCTTGATAAATATTACTTTTTAAGCATTTTTTAATTAGACTATATAAAATTAATGTCCTAAATCATTAATTCAAATAAAAGAATAAATAATAAAATTAATAATTATAGAAAAATTCTAAATGCAAGACATCTTAACAGGAAAAAGCATATCGAAATAAAAGTAGAATGAAAATTTGAAGAAAAAATTGTTGAAAAAATATATCCCAGAAATTAATTGATGTATCTAATAAAGAGTAATAAGATTCTAATCACATATAAAAGAGGCTTATACATATATATATATGTTGTTTTGAGATGTTATTAGTAGATTTCATCCTAATAAAGTTATTATTTTTTTTTGAAAATTCTAACAGAAGAGTTAAAAACAATCTTATTTTATGGATACAATAATTAAAAGACATAAGTTCAATCAATTAATTATAATTCGAGAAGATTCCAATTAAGCAAACTTTTCAATAACCTAATTCAGCAATAAATAAAAAAAAAGAATATTTTCTTTTAGACACTAAAAGAAGAAAATTATTACTTCAAAATCAAATCGTCTTTTGAGTTCATTATATGTATAAAAATTAAATTAACACTACTTTTGATGATTTTTTAGATTATGCCTTAATTTAATCAAAAATCAAATTTACTAATCGTAGGAGTAAGACAAGATAGATTTTTTGAATTTAATAATCCTAATGTGACCAAAAATATATCCAAACTACTAAATAAGGCAGAAGCCAACTTAGTTCCATTAAATAAAATCTATCCCAATATACCGAATAAAACTTATTCCAGACATATTAGTATTCTCAACTCATTATATCAATGCATAGAACCATGATTTCCAATCAACTGAATCGCAAAGATAATGTATTTCTTGACAATTATAAAAGTGGAGTTATCTATGAAGTATACACTTAGTGTAAAATCATTAGGATTTTAAATGAATAATATAATGAATAAAACAGTTATTTATTTTAAGAGTAGAAAATAAGGAAGTTGATTTCTGGTAAAATCCTCACAATAAACTATATCTTCAGGATCCAATATAGACAAGACAAATATTGATTTAGGAAGGGATTACCCCAAGGTCCTCCTATATTTTTCATTATTAGTTTAAAAGAATAGATATATTATGTGGGCTTAATAAACTAACTTATGCAAATGATTTAGTATTTCTCAATTCCATAGGAGATACTAAATACTATAAAATTATTGGTTATTGATTAATAGAAATCAGCTTTTCTGAAAACTAAAAACTATTCTAATATCATCAAATTTAGACTAAATTTCATATCTAGGAATAATAATTTCTAATAAAAGTAAATTGAAACTCAATATCAAACGATTAAATTAAAATTGAGATTATTAAGATTATCATCTAAATTAAGATGGATTGCTAATTAGCAGAAAATCTTTTAGAAGAGTAAAATTTTGTAAATCTTTGCAAACCCATTAATCAGATTTTTTATTTGGTGTGAATGCATCAAGATTTAAAACTGAGATAAATTATAAAGCCAATATTTTAAACGATATTGAAGATATATAACGGCAGATATTATGAAAATATTGAGTTATACGAAAATTAAAGGAGTTTTCCTTAATAATTGAATGGCTGTTCCTTACCTAATGGAAAAAAAATTAAAATTATTAGTGCCGTGCAAATCTAAATATATATTAGAAGATCTTCTGCAAATGAAGTATGATAAATTTATTGTATTTATAGAGATCTGAAAAAACAGGGGATTTAAAAGCTGATAGAGTAAGGTATACGGAACCCAGCTTATTATAAGTTATCCAAAGGTTCGAGAAGTATATTGAATTGGTTTTATGTTTCTGTTTAATCAGAAATATACAAAATCATTAAATAACAGTAGTGTGTTGGAATATATCCTCTTTAAAACCAACCACCTTACAAATAATTAAAGAAAATGATCCCCACCTAATTTATCTTCAAGAAACTTGATAGATTATAAACACATCTCCTAGATACAATTTCATTAATAAATTACTTAGCGAACATTCTTAAGGCGGAGGAATAAGTATAGGCATTCATAAATAATACATATGCAGAGAAATTTCTCATATATTAAAATTAGATGAAATTGAATATTTGTTAGTTTAATGCACAAAAAATAATGTAGAACTATATATTTTCAATATCTACTCTGCCAACTCTAAATCTTTCAGAAACTAATTAAAAAAATTGAAAAGCTTCATTGTTCAACTTAAAATCAAGAAACCAAATGCTCTTATAATGATTGTTGGAGATGCTAATAATAGTAGAGTTAAGCTCAAAGGTATGATAGATTTAATCCCAGAGTATTAAATTACATACTAAAGATATGTCAAGAACTAACTTCGATAATGAAAAACAGACATTTTTCAAATCAATTAAGAGCTTTTGCATTCAATTAGCTTTCAGCAAAATAATCTATCTGATCATACATTAATAATTTGTTAATTAAATTAGTAAAAAAATCTAAAAAGTAAAAAGTAATATAATTTCATAATAAACAAGGAGTAGGTTTATCTATTAAATTTGAATTGTTCTCACAGTGAGAACTTCAGAGAATTTATCTAGAAAATTCAGGAGAATCAAAAGAGATTCTAAATCGATAGAAGGAAAAGCTAAGGTCTAAAATCAATAATACATAGAACTTCTTAAGATTTTTTAAACATATTCTAATTAATTAATAGCAATATCAGAACTAAAGTAAAATAAGATAACCCATAAACTAATTAACAAGCGAGTTATAGTTAATCAAAATAAAAGGGATGATGAAATCATGAATTTTTCATTGATAATTTAGATAACTTAATCACAGACTAACAGGCAGTAACAAATAATGTATTATATACATTAGGAGATAATTAAGGACTAATTAATTTCCAATCTATATCATTCCCAGAATTAGAACCTATTACTTTTGAACAGTTTTTATATATGAAATCAAGAATTAGTTAAAACAAAGCATTAACGAATATTTTAATTTCAGACACTTGGATTTCCAAAAATGGATCCTTCATTATTTTGAATGGTGTTTAGAGAAGTAGTACATAAGATTTAGTTAAAAACTTTGGAGAGTTCTTTATAATCCCAATAAATAAAAACTATACAAACATTCCACAGGCTAGCGAATTTCGACCAATTACAATATTAAGTCCTTTATATAAATGGTTAGAATTGCGATTTTTTTTTTTGAAAAATCTTTAAGCAGATACTGTGAAAGCAAAATAATAAAACAATATGTTGGCTTTATAAAAGGATTCGGAACTTAATTTCAGATTTTGAAATTTATAAAGGATATTTCAAGATTAAAGGCTTATGATAAGAGAAAAACATCTAGATATAAAATTTAATATATCTAGATCTCCTATTATAAATTTATAAGTAAACTCAAATTAAGGTTCTTAAATAATAATCTAAGTTAAATGAACAAAAAAATATACATGAAAAAGAACTATAAATAATAAGGATGGATTAATGATATTTATTGTACATTTGAATACTTTAGTGATTATTTTAAGTAAAGTCATATTAATTGAACCCTAAAAAACATCAAATCAAAATCATAATTTTATGATAAAAAGCTGATTTCATAACTTGTATAAATGAAAATAATTATCTATATTAACATAATTAAAACCAATTTGTATATAGAAAATAAAGGATACTTTGATAAAATATTTCTTACTCAAAATAAACCTCTATATTAGTCTATGAATCCTTGCTAAATCAAAGAGATCTTAAAATTACAAAAAGGGAATAAAATGCTAGTATTACACTAAAAGGCATAAAGGAGAATAAAATGAAATAATATTAAGTTAAATATCATAAGGAAAAATATAATAAAAAAAATCTAAAAAAAATATAATTATAATAAATTAATGTTGAAAATTTAAATAACAAAAATTGAATATCCAATTTATACTTGATTTAAAAATTAGGAACCAAATATACTAATTATATTCTGTGGATATGTAAAAAAGTAATATTGAAGTAAATGGACTGATTGATATCATTTAAAATAATAAAATCACTTTTTTATAAAAATCAAAGGGAAAATTTCTTCTTCTAAAACTGATTCATTTTAAATAAGCACAAATCGGAAAATTACGTTGTAAATAAATTAAATAAGGACTCCCAGAATTAGAAAAAAAATATTATAAAATTTAATAATCATTATCAGAATTTTAAAATCAAAATCAACTTATTTAAATTATAATTTTGTTATTCAGAATATGAAAATTAAAATAATTTTTGATAAATTAAGAAATAATGAATCGAAATTGAATCATTCCGCGATAAAAAATAATGATAATTTGGTGGAATTATGGAATGTTTTTGAAGAATGAAAAATTGCATTTTGATATTAAAAGAAGTGAATAAAAAATCATTATTAAATTAGGGAAGATTTAAACTATTATCAATCATAACTCACCTAAATTACAAATGAAGAAAAAAAATTTGATTATATTAGAAAGACAATGCCTTAAAATAAAACTATGACTGATAATTTAATTTTAGATGTTTGAATTAAACAATATACAATAATCAGAATTATTATTATTATTATGATTTTGATTATTATTATTATTATTATTATTATTAGCAAAATTAATTATCCCCTTACCTTGTAAATTTTTTTCACTTTTTATTAAATAACTTTTTTGAATCCAAATAAATGATATTTTAATATTTCTGTTAGTATTTTTATTTTTATTTACTTTTATTATTATTATAATTTTTAATATCTTTCTTTATAAATATGAAGTTAGTCAAATATTTTCGATTTCATTAACACTGAAAATTATGATATTCTATAATGTTAAATACTGTTCTTATCAAATAATATATAATAAGTAGGCGATATTTTATTTACTTGGAAGTTGAAATATAAAATTTTTACATATTAAAGTTCCATTAGAAGGTAAAAATATTTTAGCTCGATATTATGTTTCAAAATCTCTTAAATTTGCATAATTAATAAATATTCACTTAATGAATAAAAATCAAAAAGAATAAGAGGTTTGGATGATATTAAAGTAAGTTTTATCAAAAGCTTTAACTCTAGAATGTTTCAAAACATGACACTAAATTGCAATTGATGAAAAAAATATCAAGAGTATATGAAAAACATTATAAGAAATTTTTATTTATTAAATAATCTAGAAACCCCAGTTATTTATTTTAAACATTGTATTTGGTTTTTAATTTATAAATATCATAGCTTAATTTATGAATATAATGCTACCAGAGGATAATACATCACAATCAAGATTGACTAAAAAATCAAATAATGATATCAATAAAATAAATAGTGTAGAAGCAGAACTAGTACATTATATTAAAGCATTTGATCATAAGAATTAATGATCAGTATTAGGAAATAAGGAATCAAAAAATATATCAAGGAAGTTACGAGATTTCATAATTTAAGAGGATTTAGAGTTTCTGAGTTTCATTCTCATATGTAGATTAAAGCTTAACACAATCTAGAGAAAGATATCTAGAAGACCATTAAATATTCTAAAAAATAAATACTATCTTGATTTAATATATCGATAAGATAAGATGAGATATTAAGAGAATAATAAATATTGAATGATATATTGCAGAGAATATTGATATTTGTATGAAAAAGTTGATCTCTCGATTGATATAATTTGGATAACTTTTCCACTTGATCCACATTTATTAAAGATTATAATAGAAAATATAAACAAAAATTTATAAGTAATTACCAATGCTTGGTTTGATAGATATTCTAGCACAAAGGCTCTTTCTTGTGGAAATAAATGGATTTATGATATTTTTTGTCATGAGTCATCCTTGCAAATAGGTTTTTTTCAAATATTGCTCTGATTATTATTAAATATTCACTCCTTTAATTAAAGTTAATAGAGGGTATGAACCTTAAATTTTTCAATATATAAGATCTGAGAAAATTACCTAACAGCTACTTTGATGCAATAGAAAAATATTCAAAACATAAATAGAAACTTTATGTGAAAATGTTTTAAGTCGATAACTCTAAAGCAAAATATTCTTTTTTTTTTTCCTTTAAGAAAGTATTTTTCAATTAATAACAATATTTTAAATTATTTGATTTTTATATTATTAATTTTGAGGATCTTATTGTGAACATAAATAATTTAATGCTACGATAATTTATCATTACTTTATACACCTAACTCTTAAATATGGGAAAATAGAAATTTGGTCTTTCTCATTATGAATAATATTTTTTTTTTAAATCATCTTTTTGAGATAACTTTTTATCACATTTAATACAAATTGGATAAATAAATCTGATTAAAAAAATGATAACTTAAAGAGTTTAAAACAAAAAAATATCAAAATTTATGGTTTCTTAAGATAAAAAAATACGAGAATATGTCAAAAAATCAATCCATTTTTATAACATTAAAAATCCATTAATTTATTTTCTTTTTAATTATAGATGATTAAGATGATAATATTGATCTTTCTTTTTTATGAGCAACTTTTTTTGACTTGTAGTAAGAAAAATTTTTATTTTAGAATGCAAATATCTATTATCAACAGATCTAACAAGCAAAAGCATTTTATGCTTATGGTAAGATGAAACCTAGAGTCTTACTTTATCATTTTGTACAAATGAATTAGCTGAAAACTACATAGGTTTAGAAACAAGTTTATTTTAAATTTATTGGAAGAGAACATTCTCTCTACCTAAAACAAATAGAGTATATGTTTATTTTGAGATTTCCTTATCTGGCAATTGGAATAATGATGAACTACAGATCTTTGCAAACGATTTAATGGTATACTCCTAATAATTCACTCTCACAGATTCCAATAGGAATTGTAATTAAAGGTATAATTTTTGATCAATTATAGATTTCTATATGAGTCCTAAGGATATTTTATGATTAATATGAGATTAGATTCTTTGAAATTAGAAATAAAAGTCAAAAAAACAAACTTAGGTATTTATTTCAAAAATTTGGTTTTGCTTTAAAAATAATAAAGGGGTAGAGATGAAATTCTTCAATTTTTCGATTTTATACCAACATGTGATCCAAATTTTAATTTTTCACAATATTATTGCAAGTGCTCAAATAATTTAGTCTATCAACCTAATTAATGTATTTCAACATGTGGGTAAAATTATTTGTATGACTCTACTGAAAAAAAGTGTCTTGCAAAAGATTATTGCTCTTCTTGTGTCGGAACTCAAACATCATTATCATGTGATGCAGGATATTATAAATATTCAGAATCTGATATTACTGAATCTAATTGTGTTAAGAGATGCCCAAATGGCTATTATCAAGATGAGACTGCTAAGGCTTGCACTGATATGAAATCTTATCTTTAGACTAATCAAAATGGAGGAGGTAAATTATAAAAATTAAGATTTAGAATAAATCGGCCATTATTACTTTTTTACTACAATCCCTGAATTTATGCATTTTTATACATATAATCATTTTATGACAACTGTTATATCAATTCCATAAAAAATTAAAGAAAGAAGCTTTTTCTTTTATGGTAATAAATTTTATGTTGGTTCATTTGATACATTTTAATATCAAAAGGTATATATCATATAAAATATTCCGGATTCTTAATATAAAATAAGGTTTAGAGCAATAGCCCATTTTATTGATTTTAATCCTACTAAATTTGATATAACAATAAATGGTGTTAAATAAACAGCTGCTACATTACAAATTAACACTATTAATATATTATAATCATCAAAATCAGATTATATAGCATACTTAGATTATACATGGGTGAGAACAGAATAATACCCAATACCTTAAAATAATATTCTTTTTGAAATTGAATAACCATCTTAAGGAGGAAAATATATTGGAGTTTTCTATTTAGATGATATTCATCTTTTTCAATTTCAATGTTAAACAGGATGTAATAATTGTTTTACATATGCTTTTTGCACTCCTTGTCTTTATCCAGCAAATAAAGATCCTGCAGACTGTTCATGTCTAACAGGATATGTCATGTAGAATAATTAATGCATAGGTAATACAGAATTTTAAGTTAGTTTGCCCTACTTATTGTACTACTTGTGTTACTGCTGCAGTTTGTGTAGATTGTTTGGCATCAACAAAAAGAATTAATTCTCCTAATTGTGATTAATGTCCTATTAATTATTATGTCGATTCAGCCTATGTAGATTGTTAACCATGTTAAACAGGATGTCATTCATGTACAGTTGGAACTGCATGTGTTTAATGCGCTAATGGATACTTTAGAAATCAATTAAATTAATGTATAACTTAATGTCCAGATGGATAATTTAATGATTCTAGTAATGTAAATGATCCAAAATGTAGTATTTGTGATAATAATTGTTTGAAATGTTAAACATTAGCTACAACTTGTACTGCATGTAAAGGATTGGCTATTCTTGTTTCTGGTTAATGTTATTTATGTTCTGAAGGTTAATATTTATAAGGAACTACTTGTGTCAATTGTATTAATGGATGTTAAATTTGTTCTTCTGTCACATGCACAACATGTTAAGATTCTTATTATTACAAATCATCAACTAATGAATGTATTTCTGTTTGTGATCCAGGATTTTTTGGAAATACAACCACTAAAACATGCGACGTATGCAATTCCAATTGTTAAACATGTTTAGCAGGTACANGAAATTCTTCAATTTTTCGATTTTATACCAACATGTGATCCAAATTTTAATTTTTCACAATATTATTGCAAGTGCTCAAATAATTTAGTCTATCAACCTAATTAATGTATTTCAACATGTGGGTAAAATTATTTGTATGACTCTACTGAAAAAAAGTGTCTTGCAAAAGATTATTGCTCTTCTTGTGTCGGAACTCAAACATCATTATCATGTGATGCAGGATATTATAAATATTCAGAATCTGATATTACTGAATCTAATTGTGTTAAGAGATGCCCAAATGGCTATTATCAAGATGAGACTGCTAAGGCTTGCACTGATATGAAATCTTATCTTTAGACTAATCAAAATGGAGGAGGTAAATTATAAAAATTAAGATTTAGAATAAATCGGCCATTATTACTTTTTTACTACAATCCCTGAATTTATGCATTTTTATACATATAATCATTTTATGACAACTGTTATATCAATTCCATAAAAAATTAAAGAAAGAAGCTTTTTCTTTTATGGTAATAAATTTTATGTTGGTTCATTTGATACATTTTAATATCAAAAGGTATATATCATATAAAATATTCCGGATTCTTAATATAAAATAAGGTTTAGAGCAATAGCCCATTTTATTGATTTTAATCCTACTAAATTTGATATAACAATAAATGGTGTTAAATAAACAGCTGCTACATTACAAATTAACACTATTAATATATTATAATCATCAAAATCAGATTATATAGCATACTTAGATTATACATGGGTGAGAACAGAATAATACCCAATACCTTAAAATAATATTCTTTTTGAAATTGAATAACCATCTTAAGGAGGAAAATATATTGGAGTTTTCTATTTAGATGATATTCATCTTTTTCAATTTCAATGTTAAACAGGATGTAATAATTGTTTTACATATGCTTTTTGCACTCCTTGTCTTTATCCAGCAAATAAAGATCCTGCAGACTGTTCATGTCTAACAGGATATGTCATGTAGAATAATTAATGCATAGGTAATACAGAATTTTAAGTTAGTTTGCCCTACTTATTGTACTACTTGTGTTACTGCTGCAGTTTGTGTAGATTGTTTGGCATCAACAAAAAGAATTAATTCTCCTAATTGTGATTAATGTCCTATTAATTATTATGTCGATTCAGCCTATGTAGATTGTTAACCATGTTAAACAGGATGTCATTCATGTACAGTTGGAACTGCATGTGTTTAATGCGCTAATGGATACTTTAGAAATCAATTAAATTAATGTATAACTTAATGTCCAGATGGATAATTTAATGATTCTAGTAATGTAAATGATCCAAAATGTAGTATTTGTGATAATAATTGTTTGAAATGTTAAACATTAGCTACAACTTGTACTGCATGTAAAGGATTGGCTATTCTTGTTTCTGGTTAATGTTATTTATGTTCTGAAGGTTAATATTTATAAGGAACTACTTGTGTCAATTGTATTAATGGATGTTAAATTTGTTCTTCTGTCACATGCACAACATGTTAAGATTCTTATTATTACAAATCATCAACTAATGAATGTATTTCTGTTTGTGATCCAGGATTTTTTGGAAATACAACCACTAAAACATGCGACGTATGCAATTCCAATTGTTAAACATGTTTAGCAGGTACAGATAAAGACTGTTTAAGTTGTTCACCAGGTAAAGTACTTAATATCTACAATGTAATAAGTGGAGAGTGCAACATAAACTGTTTGCTAGGATTCTACAAAGTAAATGATTAATGTTTGAAATGTTGGAAGGGTTGTTCTGCATGTATGGACTAAACTCAAGCCTGCTTAACATGTGCGAGCAAATTTTATAGATTAAAAACCACCGGTTGGTGTTATGAAACATGTCCTGATGGATATTATAATAATAAAATAGGTTATTTATGTTCTCCTTGTAACACTTAATGTAAGACCTGCTATGGTTTTTCAGAATTAACTTGTTTATCATGCAATGCTCCTTTAGCCTACTTTTAAAACTAATGTTTAGTTGAATGTTATGATGGTTATGGGAGCATAAATAATATTTGTGAACCATGTGCAGCTAATTGTAAGAAATGCTTTGGTACATAACCTAATGAATGTCTTTAGTGTAAAAATGGGTTTTACACTCTAAATAATCAATGCTATATTAAATGTCCAAGATCATTTTTTGGTATCAGACCTTAGTATGTTTGTAAATGTATATATGACAATTGTATAACTTGTACAGCAACTTAATATTTCTTGGATAATTAATGCTATACTAATTGTCCAACTGGTTATTTTGGATATAATGGTTTATGTATTAAATGTGATTTGACTTGCGGAACTTGCTTTGGAGAAGGAATAGATGAATGTTCTTCTTGTAAATCTGGTTTAATCTTATATTAAAATACTTGTATAGCAAACTGTTTAGGAAACCTGTATCATGATGTTGTAGCTAATGAGTGTAAACTATGCAATATAGAGTGTGCTGCTTGTACAGGGCCTAATAATAATTAATGCACTGCTTGTCCAAATGAAAAATTATTAACAATTGAAAATAGTTGTAAAGATATATGTACTGATGGTTCATTTTTGATATAAAGTGAATAAAGATGTTATCAATGTCATGCAACTTGTAAAACTTGTTTTGGATCTTCTGATGAAAATTGTTTAACATGCACAAATTTATTTTAAGCAAATTAATGTGTAAGTACATGTTCTCCTGGTTTCACAATTAATGCTACTGGAACAGCATGTGATTCTGATTTTACTCAAGTAGTAGGAGCTTGTTCATATTAGTGTAAGACTTGTGAATTAGCTGCAAGGTATTGTAAATCTTGTTCAGGAAATCGTAGTCCTAATCCACCTAATTGCGATTGTGAAAATGGTTATTTTGATGATGGAAGTAACTCTAATTGTCCGAAATGTGATAATAAATGTTTGACTTGTAAAGGATTAGCAAATCTTTGTCTTAAATGTAAAGGGGATAGATTATTACCAACATGTGCTTGTCCAGAATTTTATTATGATGATGGAGAATCAGTTAATTGTGTTAAGTGTTAAGATAATTGTAAAACTTGTGATGTTAATGGATGTACATCTTGTCTGGGAGATAGAATTAATAATCCTGATTGTGTATGTCCTGATGGTTATTTTGATACATATCAAACTTATTGTTCATAATGCGCAAAAAAATGTGTAACTTGTGTTGGATCAGCAGGATTATGTGAAGAATGCTCAGGTGTTAGAGTTAGAAAACCACTTTGTGAATGCCCAGAAGGTTATTATGAAAATTATGATTATTAATGTATACAATGTGATCCATCTTGTAAAATTTGTAATTAATTTGGATGTTTATCTTGTAAAGGAAATAGAGTAGGCACAATTAATGGTGAATGTTAATGTGATTAGAAAGGAATCAATAGATTAAGTATTGGATCAGTTTATTGCACAGACTGTTATTTTGGAGTACCATATTTTGGATTGAATGAAGAATTTACTGGGTTTAATTTTGATTTTGGAGGATCTATAGTTTATTTGGATTAAGGAATTACAGATTTATGTGAAGCTTTCTTTGAATCTGAAACACTTTTAAAATTAGGAACATAACCTCTCTGTAATTCAGATTACTCAGTAATTTTTGGACAAAACCCAACCATATAAGTAGGTGATACTATTCAATTAAAATTATCCTTTATGTTAGCAGGTTGTGAATATCAATTTTTCAAAATCCTTCCTATGCCTCTCTCTATTCCATCTACAATAGATTTAGATACTCATAAGCCAAGTGTCAAATTCAATGATATAAGTACCTTAAATATTTGTTCTGATTTAATTATTAGATTTGAAGAATTATTCTATAATGGAAAGTAAAATTTGAAAGTTATTTCATGGAATCAATATATTCCTTCATTAATAGACCCTTAAATTTAATCTATATTAAATGCTAATACTTTAAATCATAGTGATACTATTACTTTTCCACCAAAAATCTTCTAATCGAATATTAGATATAAATTCGGTGTTACTATTGAAAGTTTTGCTAAATTATAGAACATAAATTATTTTTAATTTGAAGCTTCTCAATAATCCAAAATTAATTTTTATCCAGTTTCAACTAATAATTAATTTCATAGATATGATCAAATCTCAATCTAATGTTAAATATCTTATTCAAATTGTATAGAAAAAGTATATCCAGAGTAAACTTTAGTTTATGAAATTAAATTGAAAAATAATAAAAATTAATTATTAAATGGAACTTTGACAGAAAATTTAGAAGATGGATTTATTTTCGATTTTCCTCTTAATTTCAAATAATATTATTTTAATTTTTCTAATCCATATATTTTAATTTTTAATACAAAATTAATAAGACCTGATTATACTGTTAGTACATCATAAAACTTTGAAATTTATATAGTTCCATCTAGCCCAATACTTACAATTGCAGGTGGAAATAGAATGATTGGGTATACTGATAAACTATTTTTAAATACTACAATTACAGATAAAGATTTAACAGAAACTGAGGCTTCTAAAATCATTTATGAATGTAATTGGAGTTGTTAAGATATTGTAAATGGTTCTGCTTGTATTAATTAAGAAAATTAAACAATTTTATTTGATAAGAGTTGTAATTAATATTTACCACCACGTACATTTGCTCCATATTAAGTATTTAATTTTGAAGTTAGCATTATAAAAGAAGAAATAGTTTATTCTACAAAAATATCAATTTAATTAATTGAAATAGATTTACCAGCTTTAACTGTATAAGGAGTCAATGCATTAGAGACTCATAATTATTATGATGAATTTATCTATTAATTAATATATCCTGGAATAAATCCTGATGTTTTAATGTATGCTGGTGCAGTAATCTATGATTAAGTTGTTTAAGCAACTTTCCAATTTTATTATTTAGAGTTTAAATTTAAAGTCTAAGACTATTTTACTAATTTCTAAGATTCTTTAGGTAATGGTCTAAAATTAAGACTATCAGTTTATGATCCTCGTTTCATAATGCCTTCTTTAAATACTTAAATGTTAACTATGAATATTCCACCTTAAAATTGTGAATTGGAAATGAAATACAATCAAGGATTTGTTGAATTTATTGAAGCACTTGATGTTTCAGTTATTAATTGTATTGATACTGATGTACCTTTATAATACAGTGTTTGGGTATTTCCAAATGAATCAATTTATGAATCTGATCTAATTCAATCTAAGTTTTACAATTATATATTACTTGAACCTTATTAGAAAACCAATACATTTAAGTTATTTTTACCATATTATAATGATAAGTAGTAGGTTCTAGTATTTCATATATAAGATTCATATGGAGGTGTAATTAATATAACTTAGACTTTTGATGTAAAATAATATTTATAAATTGATGAAACTACTTTTTTTAATTATGAAAAGTAAATTGTAAGTTTAGATTAATAATTAATTGGATATAATTTAATTACTGAAAGATTAAGATTAATAAATGGATCACAATAATATAAATAACAATTATTCTAGAAATTGATTGCTATTGATTAAAATTAAACATTCTTAAGTAATTAAACAGAAAGTTTATATAGATCTATTTCTAAATTATTAAGTTAAAATGTAACGCTATTAAATTAAAATGAATCAATGTTACTTAATTAATTGAATTATAGAATTAATTTAGCATATATTTAATTGACAACATTTTATAATTTATAAAGATAAAATAAATTGACATCAATATAAAACATTGAAAAAACTACATATACTTAACAATACTATACATTCTCAGATATTTTATCTTCTTGTCTCAATTATAGAGTTCAATAGAACTTAACATCAACAGATATCTAAAAATAACTATAAGAAATGCAATCATAATTATAAGGTATTAGTGTACCTAATGAACCTCTATATAAAGTTTAATCAAATTCAGTAAATTTAAATTTTGGATTTCTTACAACCAAAATGGCAGGAGAAGTTACAGGATCAAAAACAATTACTAAAAGTAGATTATTGGAGGAAGAAGCTGAAAAATCAGATACTGATTATAATACTTCAACTAATTTCTATAAATTTTCAATGACCAGATTTATTGATAATCCATTTTATGCAGACCAAAACTTTCCCAAAAACAGCAGTGGATATTAAGCTGTAGATCCAAAATTAATCGCAGAAACTTAATCTAATATCAGTAAAGCAAATTCTTAAATGAAATTCAAGTTTCCAAC